TCTCTGTCACCTTTAATATTTTTATTTTTTAGTTTGATGTTTTTCTATTTGAGATAAGAGTTAATCTCTATAGGCACTCACAGTACTCTTTTTAATTTTCATATGTAGCTTGGAGAGGTAAGCTTTAAGCCCCCCTCCTATGTGAAGTAGTCATGTCAATAAATTCTTCATTTTACTTAAAAAAGAAAAGTAACATTATTACAATACCCAAGTAAAGTTGCTTAATCTTTCTCTAGAAGGAGAGACATGCTTCCAACATGATACAATAATGCCGCATGGTCATGCCTAAGGTTATACCATTATATTTATAGCAAAGTATATAAGTAAGTATATACAGAGGACAAGATTACCCTTACTTAAGAGGGTAGTATACAATAAATCCTAGGCTAATACGGTGAAGAGATATATACACTAACACAACAAACACCAATTTTTTGAGCCATTATACCAGATGGAAAATACAAACATGCACGGCAATACATTCTTAATCAAGAATTTTTAACCATAGAGGTTTTCGCAAGATTCTTATTTGTAGTCACACTGCAACACATTACTACAGCACCAATAGACAGAGGATGTACAAGTCAAGAAATATAGAGCAAAAATTTCTTGAATGATAGACAATCTTTTAATCTTAGGCCTCACGTTTTTTTTGTGCGGTGGTAACACATTTTGTCCTGCAGCATAGATCTCATACGAGCAAGCTCAATCCATTTTTCTTGATTTTACTAGCCCACTAAAAAGATAATTGTATACGGATAAAATCGAGTTCATGGTGCACCCTGGCCTCCGACAAGATAAGCCAGGTTCGAGACATGATGACAAGGGGCCGATATCGAGGCGAAAGTCTCGTCGAGTTGGAATCCGGGGGCATGACGCCTACCCCGAGAATAGCAGGGTCATAATTACGGATTGGTCTTGACCTCAAATGATTTCGAGGAACATTATCGGACAATCGATCACAGCCAACGGAAGGCCGAAATATCCGTGACCGGTCGGATATCACGACGGGATCTCGGCACGTATCGATAAGGAGCCGACAATCAGTTAATCAGAAGATATTTTTCTTTTTATAGAGTTGTACCCAAGGTGGGACACCCTTACTATATAAAGGGGTTTGATAATTCATGAAACACATTGTATCATGCATTCCAAAGCAATATATTACCATTCTTTCTGTTATTTAGCTTTTTCCTCTTGTTCATCAGTGCTGGCTATAGTGAGCCCGGATCGAGAGTGAACATTTCACCAAGGCTGAAACTGTCCTATTTATGTGATTTGAATTTAATTTTATCTTTACTTGAATTTAATGTTCAAACAAAAGAATGCAGAGAAACTCATGCAATACTTGAGCAAAAGATGTTTTTATTTACAATAAACATGCCAAAACGTCATAGGTCCAAAAGTTGGAAAAATAAAGGAAAAGCTAAACTGCTGCCTCTTCAGTTTCCGAGAACTCAGAATCAGAACTAGAAAAATCAGTAGCATTAGACCTAGTCAGAAGACCTCTTTTTGCAGCTAACTCTAGTTCAAGGGTCTTAGCGATTTCGGCATCAAAGTCAATGATACCCGCTTTGGCCTCTTACAAGATTTTTCTACTAATGCTATACATAGAACGCGTTTTCTCTAATGAGGGAGGCCGCTCGGCATTGAAGTTCTTCTTTAAGTTAGTCGACCTCGGCAGAAAGATTCTCCCATGTGGTCCTCACAAATCAGCGGCTAACATCGAGATCCCGCTTGGAGGTAAGTTCCTCATTTTCCCGAATCAACCTCTGAATGCCCTCGAAAGCAAGAAAGTTAGCCTACAAAATAAAAGGGGCGAGGATATTTTCAGGTAAAAACAGAAGAAATAGCAAAGGAAGTAAATAATGTACCGTTGCGCCATTGTGCATGGCATTGTTCAATAAGTACTCTCCCAAGAGAGCCTGTATATTTTCCCAATCTTTCTCTGAAGGCATAGGCTTCAGATAGTTAGCAAGTTTCACCATCCAAGATAGCAAATTGCATCCGGTGTAGAGCGAGAGAGTAACATTCCTCTTCCTTTGCGGATCTTCTTAGGGGGAGACATAATTTTGCCCAAAATTCCTATGAACTGGGGACTGGAAAAGAGGAATTCTTCCCGGGGCAGATATGACCGGTGGAGATGGTGTAGAAGTTGCTGGTGGAAGAGTTGGTGAAGAGGTGATGAAGTCGATGGCGTTGAAGGATGAGAAGCAATTGTGGTCTGGTACTTAGCCTCATGATATCGGGCGCAACGACTGGGATCGGACAACGAGAGTTGGCATTTTCCAATATTTTGAACTTCTTCCAAAGCGCCGAGACATCGTCCTTGGTTGGTGTAACTAACTCAAATGGTTGAGCATTCTGTTGAGATGATAAGGATCGTCGTCTTCTATGTAGAGAAGCTCCCTCATCAGTAGTTTCTCCATCATCGTCGATCATCATGGTGTCTATGACCGGGCCAAGCGGAGTGCTCGTTACCACGACTTCTAGAGATGACTCGGGGGCGGATTCTTTGCCCTTTTATTTTTCCCCCCTGCTGTGGAAGAATGCCTTCTTTTTGGTTGCTTGTTCTCCGGTCTGGGACTCCGTGAAAAAGTACTTGTACCTGAAGCAGGCCTGGAGACACTTGTTCGAGTAAGTGCCTCCTGAAGTAGCCTCGCCGCATCAGCAGGATCACGCAAAACGTCCTTCTCGGGGATGACAACCGAGCCCCCAGGTAGACCTGATTTCGAAAAAAAGGGAGAAAAGATATATCAATTTCCTCACATAAAAAGTAGAAACGGGATAAGTCTAACTTATCATGATTTTTGGCCTTCCACCCTTATTTGAGGGCCAGTTCTTTCAATGTGTGCGGGTTTCGGGTATAGTGACGTCTAAGATTTTTTGGATCCACTGGTCTAAGCCTTCACCCTAGGTGAAACCCATCGAGTTGATGAAATAGGCGAAGGACGGAGGATCAATACTGATATGAAAAAATTTCTGATGAAAGAAATATTAAACAAAGAGCTTACAAGTGCGGTTCCATGATTCCGGAAAGAATGAAGCCGTTGTTAGAATGATATCATTAGTGGAAACTGTAACAAATCGTTCCATCTACCCATGATCGTTGTCATCATCCATGCTAGATAATAGAGCATGGTAGCCGCATTTGCTGAAGTTTATCATTCCCCTACGGAAGACTTTAGGGGAATAGAGGTTCATCACCTGAGCTAAGGATAGCTCATTTCCTATCTCTTGGCACAAGCACCGAAGACAAGCAATTGTTCTCCACACAGAAGGACTTACTTGTACCAAACACACCTGGTAGCGGAGGCAGAACTCCGCAATAACAGAGTTAAGCTCTCCGCTCAAAGAAAACGCACCCAAAGTAAAGGGATACGTGTAAAATATGTAAAGCCCTCCCTGGGTAGGTTTATTCGCTCTGTTAGATTAGGAGAAACAATGTCCAAATCATGGCAGTGGCAATCTTCCTTCATAGCAGAAATACTGGAAGGACAGATGGAAGAAGAGTATCTGCCAACGGCCCACGTACGAGGGTTAGCCGAAGGAAATTTCTCTTTGAAGTCTTTTGGTGTAACAAGACCTCTAGGGATGATGGAACCCATTGTTAGAGGAGCAATGTCCTCGACTTTGCTTTTGCTTTTTGAAAAGCTGGTGTTCTTTGAAGAAGAAGTCATTATATGTTATCGATGAATGAAAAGCTTTTCCGTTTGAAGGAAGTTAAAAAAATGTTGAAGAACAATAAAGAAGGTTTTAGGAAGTTTGGAGAGTTACGTAGTATGAGTGAAGAAAGTTGATGCATATAAGTAAAGGTTTAAGCGGCTAAATTCGTGTCCATGATTACCTCGATAATCGGCAGAAGTTATGCTGAATCGGGGGATGACGCGTATTCGGGGCATTAAATGCGGAGAGACGTGCGTCTAATCAATCGCGAGAAGCTTTTTAGAAGGAATCATAGTAATTCCCACCAAAAAAGAGTGTTTCTACCAACTTCTCGGTGACACAAAATTATATCATCGGAAAGTAGGGGGACTATCTGTATAGGATAAAATATGCTATGCTAAGTGGCCGCTTAAAGAGTGACACGTGGAACCTAAGGCAAGGGATATTTAGAACCGAAGGCAATTATCCCGTTTGTCACCGGAAAGAATGACACTCGTAAACATGCAATAAATACCCTCCGTCTAATGGCATTTAATGGAGAATATTCCACAATATTTAGTACACTGCCCGTTACAGAGAACTTGTCATTTATGCTCACCGTTACACCTTTATCAATGGCCCTCATAATTGACATTAAAGAAATGCATGATCCTAGGACCTTGTTCCTTAGATGCAGCTATAAATAGTGAGCTATGTTATCATTGTAAGCGGTCAAATTTTCTAGCAAACTTATGATATAACCGATTCAAAGCTTTATCCAATTTTATCTTACAACTCCTTGATTTCATTACTTTTGTACCCCGAAATCATGCTCCCGGAATTACTGTTTCTGCTATTTTCTCCTCATTTCAAGGCTAAGTATTGTGTATTTCTTCAATTATTTTATTATTTCATGTTCAAATTAATTCACTTGTCTAGAAACCATGTACAAATTCAACTGTATCGTTTTACGGGTAAACAATGTTCCCTTAAAATTTAAATAGATGAAAATAACAATATAAAGATTCATGTGTTATATTTCGCGATTTTATATATTAATTTTTTTTTTGATCTCCTATAAAAAAATTATATAATTAATTAAAATAACATTTATAATATAATAGATATAAACCAAAACATATTCAAAAGAAGGAAAGGAATAATAAAAAGAGCCGTTTAAGTATGCCCTAAAATACGAAAATTTTCCTTGTAAACTTGAAGTTAAATTACAAGGCAGTAGAATCATATTCATACCCTATTTCCATACAAAGAATCAATCTTTGTACATATATATATTGTTGCCAATAGACTTTGAAAACTTTGTTGTATTCTGTAAAGGTTTATTCTCTAAAAAATTACCCACATGGATCAGAGAAGGGAGGCACAAGCTAACGAGATTAATGGGAGTCAGAGCAATGAAAACGACGGCGTTTCATCGAAGGGGCCAGCGCTGCGGCTGTACCCATGTGTAGAGCAGAAGGCGGAGAACTATGAGGATTTAGAAGAAGAATTGGAGTTCAGCCCACACCTATATAGTGCTCTTGAGCGGCATCTTCCGAGCAGCGTACTCAGTTCATCTCGAGACAACAAGGTCCAATACATGACTGATATTCTCCTCCGTTACTCTCCCCGCGCCGACCGCAGTCGCGTAAGTATAGTACTGTATTTTATATACAGTTTGCATGCATGGAATCGTTGTTACATAATCTCACTTGTTAGGAAACGTTTTAGTGGGTCTTTACTGAACAACGGACGGAAAACCAACCAAAAAAAAGATTCCACATTCAATAGAATATCACACTTACAATCTGATGTAATTACCTATATAATGGGCTAGAGCAATTTTTCAACTTTTTGCTTATGTCAAGGAGATTCAACTGCTTATATGTAATAAAAATGTTCACTTTTGGCCTATTTGCATACAGTATTAATGTTTCAAGTTCTTTCCTACGCCACAGTTTCTATACAAGTCTTGTTATTTATGTATAAAAATTCACTTTTACCTCTGCTGATCCGAAAGTTATTACTCCAACTCTTTGATCGCTAGTATAGTCGTGGTATGGTTGGATTTAGAGTTTTGAATTGAGCTGAGAAGCTAAGGCGTGTTATACTCAACTCTACATTAGCATTCATCTTTGATAAGTTTTTACCATTTGACTTCAGTACAAAGAGAATTTTTAATGATTTGACTAGTATTTCTTAAGGATTGCCAATCGTTTATGAGCTAAGTAATTAAGGAGCTTATGGAACAAAAAAGTTGAAGCTTTTCATTTGAATTTGTAATAATAGCTTAGATTTTCTTTGACTATTGGAGCATGTTGGTATTTATATTTGGTTGGTGAACATGTCAGTGCCCCAACGTGAAAACTGTCTTCAATTTATCCTTTTAAATGTTAAGGTCTTCTTAATTCCTTTCAAAATTGCCATCCATATTTTATGCCTTGTGAACCTTGACTTTCTCTATTTTTGCTTAATTCAGCTTCTTTTAGTGTAATGAAACTTCTTCATTATACTTAGGTCTTTTGGCCAATCAACTCTAGTTAGCTTTTAACTGTGTTTGGTATTACATATCAGTTGCAGAAACATGGAGAATACAGGCAGAAAATCATATCAAACTATCAGGTACATCACAGATTATATGTTGTTTGTAAATAAGCTAGTGTTTAATAAATTAAATAAACAACAACAAATTCAGTAAAATTTTACAAGTGGAGCCTGGAAAGCATAATGCATAGTGCATACACGGGCCTTATCCCTAACTTGAAAAGGTAGAGGATCTATTTTCGATAGACCATCGGCTCAGGAAAGATAAGAAGAAAGGAGTAATAACAAGTAACAACACTAGCAAACCAATCAGAAAACCGAGGTAAACAAAATAACAAGTAATAATAGAAATCTAAGGATAAGAAAATACAAGACTAACACTATGTAGCACACTAATACTACTGGCATGAACAAGGAAAACAGAAAATATTCGGCCACCTAACCTTCTACAGGGATTCTCGACTTCTATACCTTCCTATCAAGGGTCATGACCTCGGTAAGCTGGAGTCCTTTTTGAATCTACCTCTGCCTTTTCTTATGCCTTCCAAAGTCAACGTCTCACATCGTCTCACTGGGGCATCAATGCCTCTCTTTTTTACCTGCCCGAACTATCTAAGTCTTGTTTCCCCCATCTTGTCCTGCACAACGGTTACACCCACCTATTTCCGAATATTTTAACTCTTAATTTTATCCAACCTGGTATGCCCATCTCAATATTCTCATTTTTTCTACTTTCATCTTTTGGATATGGGAATTCTGCTGGCCAACACTCATCCTCATACAGCATAGTCGATCTGACCACCTCTCTATAGGACATGTAAAGAATTAAATAATCTTTTTGTGGTTCAGTTTTATAAAGCCTGTGACCAGAAAAACAAAAAGATCCTATATACAGTATATAAGCAAATCTCAATCTTCTTACTTTTTAATTATCTTCACTTTATCTTTCAGCCTTTACACAGGGTGTTATATACCATGCACGCCGCAGATTTCTTTGTACCGTCGTTTATTAAGGCGATCAGTGAGAATAAGGAGGAAAGCTTCAGAAAAATAATGTCTGAACCTTCTCCAGGTGTTTTTACATTTGAAATGCTTCAACCGCGTTTTTGTGAGATGATGTTGGCTGAGGTACTAACTTAGGATCTGTTTTTCCTCTGTGTAATTTATTTCTTTTCTGCTTTCTAATCAAATTTTGATAATATCTACTCTAATTAGGTACAAAACTTTGAGAAGTGGGTTCGTGAAACAAAATTCAGAATCATGCGTCCCAATACTATGAACAAATTTGGAGTTGTTCTTGATGACTTTGGCCTTCAAAACATGCTTAAGAAGTTTATGGAAGATTTTATACGCCCTATTTCAACAGGTAACGACTAATAATTATATGCAGTGTTATCAAAGGCGAAAAACGCAAAAAGACTCTAACGTCAGTTGGGGCTTTAAGCGGAAAGCACAAATAAAGCGCTTTTTTGCGCAAGTGTAGAAAATGTAAAAATATGTATAAGTAGTCCAAGACTAATAATTATAAGCATGAATAAAAAACATATGAATATAAAATTTAATAAAAAATTAGGATAAAGTAAAGTATCAATTGTTTAGTATTGCATTTTCCGGATTACACCCATTGGGAAAAATATGCCTTAAAGCCTTGAGACGACACTGAAGCGCTCAACATGTTTTGAGTCTCGGTTCAGGACTTAAGCGCGCCTTTGACCACACTGATTATACGAAGGATCCAATGAAAAATTATGAAAACAGATAGGTTAGGATGGATCTACTGTTGAACTTAATCATTCTTTGATATAATTGTGCAGTTTTTTTTACTGAAGTTGGTGGATCCACACTCGATGGTCATCATGGTTTTGTCGTTGAGTATGGAACAGACAGAGACATTGACTTGGGTGAGTATGTAACGATATCTATTCAGTAGTTGCATGAATGGACTGTGTTATGTGACATTGAGCATAGATTTTTGCAGTATATCTTAATAGCTTTACTTTTCAGGTTTCCATGTTGATGATGCGGAGGTCACTTTGAATGTGTGCTTAGGAAAGCAATTCACAGGTGGAGAGTTGTTCTTCCGGGGCGTACGGTGCGAGAAGCATGTGAACTCTGATACACAGCCAGATGTATTTATTAATAGATTGTCTTAAGTTTGACTTGAAACAAACTTTAAAAAAGAAGGAAGACTGTATATAATTATATATTTGATCTTAAACAAGCCATAATATTTGTAAGGGAGTACTGCTATTATTCGTCAAGTTGATGAATAATAATTCCTCTATATTTTGGTAGAAAGTGATATTCTACTATTAATTTGGTTCCATGTAATTGATATATGAAGTAATTGTTTTTTCAACAGGAGATCTTTGATTATGTGCATGTTGCGGGGCGTGCGATTCTACATTGTGGTCGCCATAGGCATGGTGCTAGAGCGACAACATATGGGCAGAGGATCAACTTGTTGATATGGTGCAGAAGGTACTGATCAATTCCCTGGCTTTGTTCATGTTCTTGTTGTTCTTTACTTGCCATCTTGCTTCAAATACATATTCATAGAGCCGAAGCTAGAATTTGAAGGCTATGGGTTCAAGGTTCTGATTCTTTTAAGTTGTTGTGTTCTAAATTAGTAATTAATACATATTCAATGAATTTCATAAGACAAATATAGGATTTGAACTGAAGCTACTAGATTCAGCTGAACCCATAGCTGATGGGCTAGCTCCGCCCCTGCATATTCACATAAATGTATGACATTTTTACGGTACTCCCTCCGTTCCAATTTATGTGAACTTGTTTGATTGGGCATGAAGTCTAAGAAAAAATGAAGACTTTTAGAATTTGTGGTCTTAAACAGGTTAGAAAGGGGTCCAGATTATTTGTGTGATTATAAAAAATTTTCATTAAGGGTAGAATTGGAAGTTTAAGCTAAATTGTTCCAAATTTAGAAAGGGGTCATTCTTTTAGGAACAAAACAAAAAGAAATAAGTTCACGTAAACGGGAACGGAAACGGTAAGAGAGTAATATTTTACAGTTCTTGGCAACATTAGAGAGCGTTTATGTCAGTAGAATTTCCAGTTACGACGAACATATGCAAACTAATCATGTGGAAGAGAGTAGTAGCATGACATAAAAGAATAACTCTCCGATTATGAATATTGAATACCTAATTATTTGCTATTTTCAGAATATACTAATGTCGATTACCTAATTATAGTTACTTTCATCTTGCAGCTCTGTTTTCAGAGAGACGAGGAAGTACCAAACAGATTTTCCAAGCTGGTGTGCAGAGTGCAAGCGTGAGAAGGAAGAAAGGATACGGCAAAAAGCTTCTATTCTCAAATCGGTAGGTTCTTTTTTTTTTTTAATTTGTTTTTTCTATACCGTTTTATTTTATATTATATTGCTTGACCGGATATAAAGTTAGAAAAATAAAATAAAATAAAAAGACAATTTTGACACATAAACTGAATTTTATAGTATATAATATTTGAATCGGCTAGAAAACAATGTCATATAAAATTGAACAAACCTTTATTTGATAAACTAGGGGAGTACATAATCTATCAATGTACTAGGGCACACCTAAGAACTTATCATAAAGTGGTTAATATACACTCAAAATTATTTCTCTTATCCCTTTTCAGGAGTTGCGCCTGAGAACTGTATAGCTATTTTTCTTATCCATTTTCAAGAGTTGCTGAGAAGAGTTGGAGAATGTGAAACTTTACGGCGTAAATCCGAATTTGATATGAGTTTTAATATGGGTATCGCAAGAAAATCGCGAAAAGGTAGAAAAGAAGAGTAGGGGAAGCAGCTGCATGCATAGCTGTTTAGTTATTTTATTTTAGTTTAACTTTCACCTTATGTGTAGGATTAACCATCATTTGCGACTTTTCTGTAAGTGATATACGAATGGATGATAGTTTTTGCCATTTGCAGAATAATGTGCTTTAACATTAAAATAAAACTTTCATTAATAAGGAAAAAAAATCAAAACAAGAATGAGAGTGTTAATATATTTACCCTCTTTATATACTGAGGGTTTGTTATAACATAATTAAATATGAAATTTTAGATTTATCCCTTTTCATCTCTTAATTTTCCAATACCCTTTCTAGCTACGTCCACCACAAAACGTTTATGATACTCTGATTTTATCTTTCATGTTAAATTCAAGAAGTATAAGATTTATAAATGTGCTCCCCGTTAAAGAATATTGCCTTTGTGATATTTTTTTCCTTGACCTTTTGTGATAATTAATCATAAAACTTTTAGTGCTTTGTATGAACACATTTCCCGTTATGACAATTATACTCATTTGGAGTTTCAAAGTTGTATGGATCAAAATCTACCCTAGAATATTTAAGATAAGATAATACTAAAGAAAGAATTCTCGTTGGTCGAGGTGGACCAAGAAGCAACGAGATTTATAGTCGAAGAGTCAACGAGAACTGAGGTCGAGATGTCAATAATGGTCGAGGTCGAGCATCGTTGATGAAGCTGCAACAACTAGTTTCCCAAATAGAATATTAAAGAGAATATTCTAATGGATATTCTCTATACTTGTACTATTAGGGTTTACTAGGAATATATCTCATATAAATAGAAAAAGATCCAAAGATCGGGGCATGTGATATTCATTTTGTAAAAAAACATACTTTGATAAAAAGATTCTCTCTCTTGCTAAGATACAAAAACTACCTTTTCACCAAGATTTGTGTCAACATTATTCCATACTTTTCCATTAGATCCTAGAATAATTCAAAGATTTAAGGGTTCATCTGTCACTCATCATTGTCAGGAAGAATAATCATCTAGTTCATCCTTTATTGGGTGAATCACTCCTCCTATTTACTTAAATGTCATTTATTGTTATTCATTACTATTAAATGTTGGATTATTGCACATACCTTTGGGAATAATTATTGCACATTGTTATCACTTTTCTATCAGATCTATTCAACGGTTTTCATACTTTTGGAAGTCACATCTAGAAATATTATTATTAACTAGGTTTAACCCATAATCTTATAAATCTAATTATTTGAATCAAGAGTTATATCTTTTGATCAAACAATTTGGCACCGTCTGTGGGGATTTCTTAGTTAAGCTTTTAATTTCTTCTAGATCTACAACTAGCGCGGGTCACTAACGTTAGAAAAAAAAAAGCGAAAACAAGATCTCATTTCTATGTACGCACAAATACCAACAGAGCAGGTAACCGAGAAGAAAGGATGAGAATAATAAGTGATCTCTCAACCAACCTCATGAACGTCATCAACGAGAGCTGTGAAATGGCAGACGAAGGCGCGACGTCCAATGCCTCTCCTAGGCGAGATCGAACCCCGCCCCTCACTGCAGCATCATAAAATCTCTTGGTAAGAGAGCCTCCACATATATAGGGGAAGAGACGCCCCCATATGTAAAAAAAAATCACCTTGAAGCATGGCTAACTAACACGCTAACAGGCATCCTCAACAAGCCCGCCCGGAACACGGCTACAGAAAATGCAAAGACTTGCCCTATACAACATGCAAAAGAGCAGTGCAACCAACTCACTCCTCCAACGACAGGTATTACTCACAATGTCATTGATAGTGCAGGTGACAACGCCCTCGCAGCCATTCTGAAAAGGATGGAGGAAATGGAGAACAAGAACAAGGCACTCTGAGATCAAATGAAAGAACACTAGGAAAGGGTCGATAAAATACCAGGCGCTCCTAAGGTATTGCCAAAGAGAGATGTTGGCCGATTCATCGAACAGCTATACAGTGTGATGCAGCCCCGCATGCTATACTAAAAACCTTTAAAATGCCGCCCTACCTCAAGATATATGACGACACAACCGACCCCGATCATGTGACTCATTACGGCACTGCCGTAAAAGGTAACGACCTCGTTAAAGAACATGTGTCTTCCATCTTGCTGAAGAAGTTCGGCAAAACCCTCACAGTAGGGGCATTAACTTGATATTCGCAGCTACTAGCACGCTCCATAGAAACCTTCAAAGGAATGGCCAACAAGTTCGTAACGGCTCACACCGGAGCCAAGAAGGCCGAGGCAAGAGTGAACGACATATTTGCTGTTAAATAATCTCTAGGAGAGGGACTGAGGGACTTCTCGCCTGGTTTAACCGAGTAAGGATGGCTTTGCCAAATGAGTCCGAGGGAATGGTGTTCGCAGACTTTCAGAACGGGCTGAGCAGGGATGGTTCAAGAGCAACGAGGAAACTGTTAAGTTGGTCGATGAAGTACCCCCCAACTACTTAGGAAGAAATTCACAATGCTTATTGTGCCAAAGTCCGCGCAAATGAGGACGACCTCAACGGGCCAATCTACCGGCTAACCTCAGTGCAAGCTGAATCAAGAAAGGATCAAAGGGACAATGCTAGAAGAGATCAACCCAATTCCACGACCTAACAAGGAATGACACCAACCATATATCAGAAAGGTTGTCGCCCCCTTCTCCCGCTACGAAAAAAGTCCATCCAAACCAAGGAAGGGAACTCATCGGAACAACAAAGGTGCACCCTCTATTAACTGCTCACAATTTTTGTGTGACACCTACAAAAATAGTCTACGCCCTGGAGAAGCTCGGACCAAAAGTGAAGTGGCCGCCAAAGATGAGATCATACCCTAATACCATAAAGTCTGACGCCCTCTATGAGTTCTACTAGGAATGAGGGTGCAAGACGGAGGACTGCATCGCCCTGATGTAGGAAGTCATGAATATGCTACGACAAGGACATCTTAAAGAGCTGCTAAGCTATAATGGAAGAACCAATTTCACCAGAGTACGCGAACATCAAGGGCCCCCCAAACTGCCCTCACCAGCCTGTACCATTAATATGATAATCGAAGACGACGCCTCTATTAATAGCGTGAAGTTCACCGCTACCCACAAGCTCAAGTGATCCATCACCCACTAACGGTATGACGAACTTGAAAAAAGCATCATCTTCGATAAGTAGGATGCCGACAGTTTGGTCTTTCCTCATCATGACGCCCTCGTTATTACTTTGTGAATTTTGGATACTTATGTTAAATGCATTATGATAGATGACGGAAGCAGCGCGTGCATTATTAATCCACGGGTACTTGCCCAAATTAAACTCAAGGATAAGGTAGTGTCGCATTGCATCACGTTGGTTTTAACAATGCAGTTGAATGGACATCCAGGTAAATTACTCTCCCCATTTTGGTTGGTGGCGTAACTCTGAAAACAACATTCTACATCATGGACCAAGACACCGCATACAATGCCTTAGTGGGACGACCGTGGATACACCCCATTAAGGCCGTCCTCTCCAGATTATACCAAGTCATCAAATTCCCAACTCCATGGGGAATATTCAGCATACGAGGAGAGCAGCGTGCATCCCGAGAGTGCTACCGCATTGATTTAGAAAACACAACATCCTAATAAAGGAAGGACAAAGAAAACAAAGCATAGCAATCAATAGGGTCGAGGTCTGGGCATGACGAGGTCGGGGAAAGCATCAAAGATCCTGACATAGTTGAAACCGCAGGGTCGACCATAGAAGACCTTGACCCTATTCAATTAGATCCCAACGACCACAACAAGAAGGCCTATATCGGTTGTAAACTTCAGGACCTAGGTAAATTCAGTTAATTCTTAAAAGCTAACACGGATTTGTTTTCTTTCAGCCATGTAGATATGTCGGGCATCCCAAAGGAGATCACCACACACAAATTAAACGTCAACCCATTCCACCCCTCGGTGAGACAGGCCAGGCGTAAATTCAACTCCACAATCAATGATGCAGTGTGCGAAAAAGTAGAAAAACCGTTAGAAAATGGTTCCATCAGGGAATCAAAATACCACAAGTGGGTCGCCAACGTGGTAATGGTTAAAAAGAAGAATGGAAATGGCGGATGTGTGTAGATTTCACAGACTTGAACAAAGCATGCTCAAACGATTTGTTCCCGCTGCCTCACATCAACCAACTCACTATGCAACAGCTGGACATGAGCTGCTAAGTTTGTTGGACGCTTACTCAGGCTATAATCAGATCCTCATGGAAGAGGAAGATCAGGAAAATACCACGTTCATCACCCACCAAGGAATGTACTGCTACAGGGTCATGCCCTTTGGACTAAAGAACGAGGGTGCAACCTATCAAAGGTTTGTAACGAGGATGTTCAAGGATCAACTCGGTAAGACAATGGAAGTATATATAGACGACATACTGGTCAAGTGGAGAAGGGGAAAAAATCACATCGATCATTTGAAAGAAACTTTCGACATACTTAGACGATACAGAATGAAACTGAACCCAGAGAAGTATGCATTCGATGTAGCCTCAGGAAAATTTCTAGGTTTCCTCGTATCACAACGAGGGATCGCGATCAACCCTGACCAAATTAAATCCATTGAAGGGATACCTGAACTCTTGACCACCGAAAACTAGGTTCAAAGGTTGATTGACCGTATTGTCACGCTATCAAGGTTCATCTCGCGGTCATCGAATAAGTTTCATTAATTCTTTGGCATACTCAAGAAAGATAACGACCTCCAATGGAATTCGGAGTGCGTCCAGGCTCTAAGGGAACTAAAGGCATATTTGTCGTCGCTGCTCTTGCTTTTGAAACCAAAGCCAGGGGAACATCTCCTCATTTATCTAGTTGTATCCGAGGTAGCTGTGAGTGCAGTCCTAATTTGAGAAAACAAAGGTACGCAATCTCCCATCTATTACATTATCAAGACACTAGTCGATGCCGAGATGAGGTACCCGCACCTTAGGAAATTGGCTTTGGCCTTAGTCGTAGCTATATGGAAGCTTAAACCATATTTCCAATGTCATCCCATTTCGGTCGTCACAACTTCCCCTCTAAGAAGAATTTTGCATAAGCTTGAGCTATCAGGAAGCTTGGCCAAATAGGTCGTCGAGCTTAGCGGGCACGATATCATGTACCAGCCATGAACAACGATAAAGTCACAAGTGCTCTCTGATTTCATCGCCGACTTCAGTGCAAAAATAATGCTTGAAGTCAAAAGGGAAGCCCTCCAAACCCCCCCCCCCAA